TTTTTCCCCTGAGAAAGCTGTCGGTAATACAGATAATAGTATTACTTGTACAATATTATAATATTATACGACGTCATCAATTCTTAGGTCGACTCGTAATCAAAGAATAATAATAAAACACGCCAACCACGAATGATATTGGCGTACTACTGCAAAGGTCGAGAGTATCTCCGTCTCCAGAAAGGTTTTTCCCTTGGTCTCGACCACGACGAAGGCCCGGACGATTAGTACATAAAGTAGTTGGAATAGCAACACTTGGGCATTAATGGTGTAGGTGTCTTTGAGGAGAAACGAGGCGCCGGTCAGGAACAAGACGCACGCAGCGAACAAGCAGGTAGCCTTTATGTTGATCATCTCGCCGAGAGCCATCGCGTAAGCCTAGGCTTATGCCCACCACAGTTGCACTTGGGCAAGCGTGGCACATTGTTCAAAGTAAAAATAATAATCAATAAGTTCAACGAAGTTGTTTGTGAACGCGACAAGACGTATAATCAGCTGTTAGAGTAAATGTATAAATGTCATAATAATATATAATTATAGAAAACTATATATGTCGGCAAGCAAGCTTACCATATAAATCACTAGGAAATTCACTCTTCTTTTAATTGGAATTTTTTTTTTTAATTATTATTATTAAGCGAAGTGTATTTTACCTACGTTCTACACCACTGCAGTATATTATTAGCTATATAATTATTTTACATTAATTATGACTGATCCAGCACGGAGTTGCCAGTGACAAATTAAATGCCCGTGGATTTACCCATTCTTAAACTCCGTTAAATGTAAACTGCACAGATTTTCCACACGGTTATTATTGGTTGTTTTTATTTGTTGTAAAAATTTAAAATACGGTCTTAAAATTATATACAATTATAATTACTATTTTATTTTCTGCAACCGATGGGCAATGGCTACCTTGTATAAACAAAAAAAAAAAAATATTCGTTTTTCGTGAATCAATAATAAATCCTTATGTGAGCACTTCTTTAAAATGCAAAATTTTAAATATTGGCTTTGAGGTGTATATCCTCGGGTAGATTACAGATTACCTATGTACCGAATTTTAGAATCATATAGGTGCAATATAGATTTGGTTGTGACTTGTGGATCGCTTACACACACACAAACATTGCCTTTTATTAATTTAACGGAATGGTAACCAAATTAGGTATTAATCATATAGATTAATTAATACATCTAAGTACATGAATACGAATTAAATAAACAAAACATTAAAAAAATACAGAATTAGTCAACATTAACCGCACCAATCGTTTGAACTCTATTTTAAATTTAAACTGAGGATTAGGTGTCGCAGGGGGGGGGGCAACGAAGCACATTTCCCATGAATACGTCATTTAATAGGACACGGTCATTTCACCCCATCTTAACTTCATAATATAAATTATAATATAACTTTCAGTGGGTCATTGGCCAACCAAGATGCTTATCAAAAAACGCAATTTCGCTACAACATTAAGATTTATGACTTATGAGTTATGATACTGGGCCGGATGCTGAGCTGAAAATAAAATAGGCTATAGGCAGATAGGTATACTACATTCTCTATACCAATGTACCAATACTACATTATAGTTTCAAATAGCAACCAATATTCAATTTGATAACACGGAAACATATTGCCGCTGAGAATCGATATTTATTCCGTCACTATCGATGAATGGGTTGGAAACAGATTGATAAGTCACCTTACAAGGTATGTTGTTGACGGTTTATCTTTATTATTATTCTGATAGGCCCGCGATTCGTGATACATAGAAGCTAACCACGCCGACGTATCATAGCTTCGATACTAAGTATCAAAAACCAAAAAACCAGTCTGTCGAGTGTTCTGCGACAACGCCAACGACCGTTTTGACGACAATATAATCAGTGTTGGGAAAAGATAACCAAAAAATCTTCTGGATAATATAACAGATAATTCATTCAAAATTGATCCAGATAAGATAAAATATAACATCATTTTTTTTATCTAGATAAAGATAAAAAATACACAATACACATACATTTATCTAGATAAAAAAATAGATAATTTGTTTTTAAATTATATTATAAATAATGTAATTTATTAGTATAATTACTAATTAGGTAATATTTATTAATTAATAAATCCTTAATGGCATTTCTCAACTAAAATAATATACAATTTAAATTTTTCATACAACTTGAATAAAAATAAAATAACGAAATAAAACTGACAATATTTCAGTAAACATTTCTTTTTTTAACTATAATAATATTGGAATTTGGAATCACTACTCGTTTCTCGTAAATTATTGGCTATTTCAGTACCTATTTAAAAATATTCTTGTTATTATATTATTTATCTACATAAATTACCACAGATAATCATTATATTTATCTATATGAGATAATTAGATGATTTAATTATTTTAATCTAGATAAAATAATTAAAGAAATAATTTTATCTAGATAATTCCCAACACTGAATATGATTATTATAATTTGTATAATTTCTCTTTGAGTTGAATAAAAACGTCATATAGTCCACATAAAAAATAGTTTTAATTTCGCACACACAACAAGGTACGTTGTAAAGCTTATTCATTCTCTATAATCGAGGAAAACGGATATAATAAATATCGTATGATATGTACATTGTGTAAGAAAGTATTGTTTTATTTTACCAAAATGTTGATAAAATATTTAAAAAAGAAATTTAAACTTTGTCAAAGAAACCCAAAATGTTGATAGAGTACTTTGATAAAAAAAAATAAGAATGTTACCCCTGTAGTATCTATGCAACAAAATCGCATGTGTCCAAAAGCATTTGAATTTTTACAAATATAAAAAACTATAGTCTATACCACTTTTTTTTTAACTTACCGCAAGAGACTTTGAGTTTAGAGACTTAAAACTTAGATTCAGAACTCTACATCTAAAGTATTTATAATTTAAGACACTGTATAATCACTATAATATTATAGTAGGTAACATTTTTTATTACTGTAACCACTACAATACGGTTACCTATACAATATTTGTATTATATATTGGTTGCTATTGGTTAATCGGGCATGTTTGTTGATTTGTACTATTGTTATGGTTTTTTTTATTATTTTTTACTGGAGAACGGCTGGTCCGATTTGGCTCAAATTTTTTTAAGATGTTCGTAATTGCCAGGAGAAGATTTATATGAAAGAAAATTTTAGGAAAATCAACCGGAAAAGTAGGAAATCTGGATGAAAAAATACAACAGTGGCGCAACAGTGTATTATAATTTATATTGGTTGCTATTGGTTAATCGGGCGTGTTTGTTGATTTGCATTTTGTTTTTTGTCAATATAGATAAATAAATGAATGTTTGTGTGTAGATTAGAGCCCTGGGAAGAAGACAGGCTAATTTAAAAATGGTCAAATTTGTTTTTTTTTTTATTCATCTGATATTAGTACGGTTAGGATTTTGTATTAACTGATTATATTAATCCACCATAGGTGCAACATGACAAACCTGGCATAACTTTAATAATTTAGAGTTAAACCATACACTTACGTACAAACATCACGGGGTCCGCGATCTACCGCAGGTAGATTGCCTACCTGATAATATACTGCTGCGAATCAGAATTATTATTATTATTAAGTTAAGATAAATTTTGAACACCATACACTGAATATTAAATAACGAATTGAACAAAGTTTGAGTCATATAGATTTGGTACATTTAACGGGTAACGAAGTACGGGATCAGCCAGTGTATATAATATATAAATGAATGTTTGTGTATAGATTAGAACTCTGGAAAGAAGACAGGCTAATTTAAAAATGGTTTGATTTGGTTTGTTTTTATTCATCGGATTTTATACGGTTGGTTAGGTTAGGATTTTGTATTAATTGATTTTATTAATCAACCATAGGTGGAATACGACAAACTTGGTATAACTTTGATACTTTAGAGTTAAATCATACACTCACGTAGTCACGTACAAACAGCATGGGGTCCGAGATCTACCACAGGTAGATATTGCCTACTTGATAATATACTGCTGAGAATCCGAATTTTTATTATTATTAAGTTAAGATAAATTTTGAGCACCATACACCGAGTATTAAATAACGAACTGAACAAAGTTTGAGTCATATAGAGTTGGTACATTTAACGGGCAACGATGTGCACGGGATCAGCTAGTAAACAATAAAAATAATTTAATAATTTAATAATTCAATTTTAAATTTTTTGTCCTGATCCGGGGGAAACGTACATCGAATAGGTGTGGGGGGGGGGCACGGAGGAAAACGTCCTAGAATACCATCATACAATATTGATATAACATTTTTAATAAAAGTTTTTAATTAAATTTGAATATTTACAACTGACCTATTATTGGTTTGACCATAATAATATACTATCTATAATTTATTCATAAATCAAATTTTCATAAATAATAAACCAGAAAAATTTTTTATTGAATTACTAAATAAAACAGGTATTTGGAAATTAAATATTAATGTAGTAATATTTGCCAATGACTTTTTATTCTTATGATAAATTTAGTTTTTTATTTTTACTTTACATACTATTTCTTATTCATACCAAAATGTATTATTATATTGTTTTATTTGTATTCTTAAGAAATGCTCCCCCAACATAAGCTTTGCTTACCGGGGGTTGTATTTTCATTTAATATTTTGATGTAAAAAATTGCAAAATAAATTATTATTATTATTTATTTATATGACTAAAAAAATGATTGTGTGAAGGTTAGGTTAGGTTATCATGCAAATACTCGCGCCCGTCGATTTCCTTCCTCGGCGGTTCGGCACATCGAACAAGCGAGCACTCGACAGGCACAACAAACGGCAAACAGTCGCATCGCGCGCGTCACGACCGATCGTGTGAGCCCGCAAAACGTCATTATTCCGTCGTATTATTAATTGTCTTCGTTTTCGTTTCGTTTACCGACGACGACTTCGTGTAATTATTGTTAGGCCCGTCACACCGAGGCCCTTTGGAGATGGGCCGTCCGCTCCCGTGGCTTCCGGTCCTGCTTGTGCTGCTGCCGGCCGCGGCCTTTGCCGACGAGCAGTGTCCGATGAACGTGTCCAGACCGGCGCCCGAAAACGCTTACCTGGTGGACGACGTACTGTGGGCCGGGGAACCGAAAAAAGCGTATCCGGCCGCCGCCTACCGTTCGGTTCAGGGCGGCGGTTACGTCCTGTGCACGTGCGAAACGGGAGCTTGTGTGCGCAAGTGCTGCCCGCAGAACTGGGCGTACGTGGAAGGGAAATGCTCGGAGCTCAACGCATCGCTCGACGTCAAGTTTGAGGTACGGAGTGACCGGTTAAGGGCTTAATATCATTATGTGAGACAACCGAATGAGATGAAAAAAAAAATGGTTAGCCCAAAAAACAACGGATTTTGTAGACCGAGTTGGACAATCCTTATCGATGCCGAACCAATACTGAATAGTCCGACTATCCCGGCGCATCCGAGTTGGGTCCCGAGTACTAGGGATAAATCGCAGGTACTACACTAGTTGGGTCCTGGATTTTTTAGGTACTACACTAGTTGGGTCTGGGATTATTTTAAGTAAATAAACAATCCAAACGAAAAATGATATTGAACGATGGAGATGCATTCAGAGATCATGTAAGTCATTTTTTTAAATATTACAACGATCAATTTATCAAAATGTATAAAAGAAATAATTAATCAAAAAAATGCAAGAATAATAAATCGATTTGATTTTGCAAAATTAACGTCTTATAAATTTTTACCAACGCACGAGTGATTTCTTTAAAGTTTAAACAATATTTTATTTATATTATATAATACCTATGTATTTTTATATTTGATTTATAACAATTTTAATATTACTCTTTGTTTAGTACCTGCATGTTATTGCCATTTATTATTCAAATAAAATTCTAATAATTTATATTTTTAATGGCGAATAAACTAAAAAAATAAACTGTAAAAAAACATTTTTAACCATAACTTTGGTCTAAATAGACAGTCCTAGGTCTGTTAAAATGGGAAGGAAAATAAACTTATGTAGTACTCAAAAGAAAAAAAAATTAAGACCCCAACTATTGTTGTACCTGTGAAAATTCCGGACCCAACTAGTGTAGTACCTGCAAAAATCCCGGACCCAACTAGTATAGCATTTTTGAATTCGGGACCCAATTCGGATGCAGCCTTGATTAGGTATCTACTTCCGGGTCCCCGGTAACGCCGTGTAGGAAACTTCTAACAGAAAGTCGAAGGGCCGCATAAAAAGCGGCCCTACCCGATGTATTGTATACATAGAATTTATATTATTTCCAGATTGAAGAATTAATTTAGTTTAAATTTTAGGTTCCAGAGTTTGTAAATGAAAACGGGACAGTCAGTACATATGAGACAGGCCACTTTCATATAGTCTATGGAAAACCGAAGTGTGCTGATAAATACCGAATAATGCCATCATTGCGTAAAACTGATAGTTTTCGAATAACCAAAACGGGATGGTTACTGCAGGATGAATCCGGAGCCACTATTGCTCGACCGGATGAATTTTGTTTGGATTCATTTTCCACGGAAAATTTTCAAAAATTACCAGTTGTTTGTTCTCGGGAATTCATGGAAAATTAATCAAATAAACCTACCGCATGCATATTATATTGTATTCATTTTTTTTTTTTGGTATTAATTGTAACCAATTACCTAATGTAATATTAATTTATAATAAAACATACAACATTACAATTCGTTTATATCTATGTAATATTATTAAACCCTGAATAACAAATTACAACATATTCAATATTAAAGAAAAAAAAATTGATTTTGAATTTAGGTACCTACATTTTGTCTGTTTACCTTGTTTTGTCGTCGCAATCTACACTGACGTGCATATTATAAAAATATGTACCAAAATTTAATGATAAGTCCGTTCAACATTTTATTTTTCCAACTATGTTTTGGTTCACTTTCTACACGCGTTGTAGTTATCGTTGCTGAGTCAAATGATAAAACTATACGTCTATAATAGATACGTTTTTAAAATAAAAACATTCATAAGTAGGTAATTTTCAGAAATTAATGGAATAAGCAATAATTATTATTGAAGTTGTAACTACAATATTTAATTTAATTACATACAATTTTAATATGTATGTTTTGATGATTCTTCATGCTCAATCCCCCTTTTCTTCATTAAAAAGGTTATTGAAAATCTGATTTTTGGAAATTTAAAATAAACTTAAGACCGTTATTTTAAATTGATGAGATTGTTTGTACTACTTAAAAGACATTTCCTACAAAAACCAATATTACTACTGTAAACTATTTAGCAGATAACTTTTCTAACATTCATAAGCTAATTAACCTAGCATAGGCTTTCTTTGGTCCAGTTGGAGGGCAAATCTAATGGTTATTTGGAAGTGGGCTAAAGTTACGCTGTTTCCTTGTAACTTTGACACATTTTTTTGAAAAAAATGTTCTCAATACTTCCAAACTTGAAAAAAATATAATTATAATGTAGGTACTAAACTTAATATTAATGAAGCATGGACATCTATAAGAAATTACGTTTGGATTAAAAATAATAAAATAAATAAGTATTAAAATGTTTAAATAATTTAATTAATTTATGTATTTAATTTTTTAGCGGATTTAGACCATTAAGAGGAAATATACAAGAACATGAAGCGAAAAAGTTTATAATCCATTCCATTTATGTTTGGGGAAGTACCGCTTTAATGACAATATTTACATTTGGTAGTGGAGGAATACCTACCACCTGATGCAATTCGTCCCGGATTCGGAATTAAGAATTGTTGGTTTGGATGTAACTAATTTTGATGACAGTTAAATATTTATATTTAAATCAAGCCGAGTTCTGTACAAACGAATATAGTTGAAGTCGTAATATTATTTGAGAAATATCCGTCACTCTTACAACATGACGTATAATAATATTTTATGTTGCTTTCTGGTTAAGCAATTTTACATTTTTACAAAATAATTATTTGAAACGTATGTTATTAGTGTACCTACATAATAAAATGTGTTGTTATTAGTTATTGTTAGGGTTTGGGTTATAAGTTATAACTTATAACACAAATAAAAATATAACACATTTAATAGGTTATGCTCGAACACTACTGTACAGCAGAACGGTGTCCACCTGTTATCAACTTTTATTATTTTTGCTTAATTCATTCAGTTATACCTCCTGCATCAATTTTTTTTTTTTTTAATAAACCGTGAATAAATCCAAACTATTATGTATGAAAAAAATGAAATAAAATTTTAATATTAATTGCTTATACACCAATATCGATAAAATCTGGTGAAGTGGGTGGGCCAACTTCAAAACGTTGAAAGCTCGTATCATAGCTTTGGAAGACTCGTGGATTCCGGGACCATGCTCACAAATTCTCGCAAATCAAAACCAAGCTTTTGACAGCTAAATCGTGTGAAGTGGGTGGGCTACATGAAGTTGGCCCACTCTCCAGTAGATTGTGTAAAAGATATTCGCAAATTCTAGGAGTATACTTGCAAAAACTCGAAAATTACTCACATATTATTTGCATAATTTTCATATTGATATGTTCATGTCGGTAGGCCAAGTTCATGGGCGTAATTACTACAATATATAGATATATTAAAATTATATACATAGAGTTAACATTTTAAATAAAAAAACATTTAGGCATGTTGTTATTTAATTATTTATTAATTAATTATTTATCATTTTTAGCCAAGTTGTTATATTTCTATAGTCCTATTGGTATTCTATTATTTAGTAATCTGTTGATGTTTATACACACGGCAATAATGATTGTGAAACATATGTACTCAGGGGATCTGAAAACCAAAATAATGTGACCATTTTAATTTTATCCTTATGATTGTGTGAAGGTTGTACTAATTGCAGTGGTTGGGATCTCCCATTTCCAAAAAACATGTTTATTACTGCGTATATCGTTAAAATCCCCTCGCCCTTGTACAAAACCTTATTATATTATCTACATTCTACATCACTATCTACTGTATTATGAATAATAATACAGAGTTATGATTATTGCACAAAAACATAATCTCTCAGAATAACAAGTGTGGTATAGGGAAGGAGAAAACGCGACAATGTCACTATATATACGTCTTGTTGGCGCCGGACCGTCACGCACAGCTTCACAGGGGATAAACCAAATGATGGCAACGGATAGATCACAGTCATCACTGCGGGATGAGGCCACGATGAACGAATATAATAATATAGATAATATCGGGAATAGGGAAATTGTACATAATACAAGACGTCAAGACGTATAGTTATTCAAAACCAGCCTAAAGCAAATTGTTTGAAAACTGGTGTTTTCGTATTTCCTTAATGGTCACACTGTATTGCAAGTCCTGTAAAAATATTGTACATCAACTAATGCTATATAACTGGTCCAAGCTGACAATGGAAAATTTTAGTTGGTTTCAAAAACACCCATCTGACGATGTTTATTTCAAAACCGGCCATAAAACCATCTATATATCGAAACCAGAAAATATGTAATAACTAATAATTCTTGTAATAATATTTTTATAAACACCTATTCGTACACATAATAATATGTATATTATGCATTCCAAACCTATGATTTCATATATATATTACAAAATCATAAAGTAAAATGTTAAGGTCTTCTTCGTTTTTTGTTGCTCCCGAAAAATTCCAAAAATTGGTTACGGCTGAACTTGAAACTACACGCCTGTATAAACATTACGCAATCGTTTTTTTATACGCTGAGGGGACATTATTGTCATTTCGCAATAATATAATAATATTACAAAATGTACAACTATTATACAAGCGCATCGCCGTGTGTGACTATCGCAGTGGCAGCGAGTCTGACGCAAATACGCGAGCCCGACGACTTCCTCTACGGCTTTCGGCGCACAGCGAACAAGCGAGCACTCATCAGGCACATCAAACGGCAAACAGTCGCATCGCGCACGTCACGACCGATCTTGGCAAAACGTTATCATTCCGTCGTATTATTTGTTATCGTTTCGTTTACCGACGACGACTGCTTCGTGTAATTAATATATTATATTAATAGTCCCTCACGCCGAGGCACATTCGAGATGTGTAGCCCGCTCCCGTGGCTGCCGGTGCTGCTTGTGCTGCTGCCGGCCGCGGCCTTCGCCGACGAGCGGTGTCCGCTGAACGTTTCCAGACCGGCGCCCGAAAACGCTTACCTGGTGGACGACGTACTGTGGGCCGGGGAACCGAAAAAAAAGTATCGGCCGGCCGCGTACCGTCCGGTCCCGGGCGGCGGTTACGTCCTGTGCACGTGCCAAGCGGAAGCGTGTTTGCGGAAGTGCTGCCCGCAGAACTGGACGTACGACATGAAAGGGAAATGCTCGGCGCTCAACGCATCGCTCGACGTCAAGTTTGAGGTAGGGACGCGGTGACCGGTTAAGGTCTTAATAATTATAACGCGAGAAAACCGAAGGAGATTTCGTATTTTTTAATCGTACCTATGTGTCCTATTTTCGATTGTTGTTGTTGTTGTTGTCGTACTTGTTATTTGAATTCAAATAGTTACCGCGTAAAACATCTGTTGCTGTCCTGTCTGTATACCCCAAGCAATAAACGCAGCGATGACGCCACCTTCCCAAGCCTGCAAAACCAATGATTCCATAGTCCATAATATGTTTGTTGATCTCGACGCCAATATATAGTGGGGCTCTATATAATAGAGTACATCTTCGGAAAGTAAAAATATTTGTCCCAAAAACAACGTATTTTGTAGACCGAATTGGACCATCCGTACCGGTGACGAACAAATACCGATTAGTCCAACTATCCAATATCTTCGCCTCAGACTGGTCATGCGCGTTGGCCGTTAACTGAGGTCAGCAGAGTGTTGTATTGCTACATAAACCGACATACTGTTAAAATAATATAATATTGAGAACTTTCTATTTTTAAGTGACTAGGAAATATTAAATTTTCCAGATCGAAATTGACTACGTACTTCCGGGTAAGTCCGTATGGTCGATAGGTCCCCGGTAAAGCCGTATAGGAAACTTCCAACAGAAAGTCGAAGGGCCGTATAACAAACGGGCCTACCAGATACCCAGCTCGGTTTTGTTGTTGAAGAATAACTGCTGTAGTGCATCTGTGGCTATATTAATAATATAATATATTATTTTTTTTTTTTTGTAGCATAATAATATTATATTAGTATTACAATATAATATTATAGTAGGTCCCTATATTAATATATTACACTGCACTCCGAGGCCCCTCGAATGTCAACGAAACCAGTTTTGTCTCAGCGTCCTACGTTTCACGCATTCAAATTATTGGCGTGTTTTTTCAGTCATATTTCATCGTGAATATAATATTATAAAATATACTTGTTATATATTATTAAGAAGAACCGAAATTTTTTGTCTCTGTCTTACAAGTGCGTACCATAGCAAATTGAACGCTCAGGACTCAGCAGAACACGTTTAGCTTTGTTAGCTTAAAAATTAGCATGAATTGACCTCTTATAAAATTTAAAGGTAAGATTATTATTATCCAGGCAATCTCATCGGATTATTATTATATATTATAGTTTTAAAGTGAGTTATGAATAATTTAAAATTGTAAATTGTTTGTTCATAATGAAATAATCATAACTATAGCTTTAAAATTAAAATATAATAGAAAGCTGGTGAGGTTGAATATAATAGGTTTGAGTTAAGATAATTATCTGGACATGTTGTATCTTTCTTTGGCAGTGACTGGTGATAGATGTTGCCTAGATAATAATCTTACCTTTAAATTTTATATGAGGTCAATTCACTCTAATTTCTAGAATAACGTAACTACAAGTGTTCAGCTGAGCTTACAATATTTGCTACGTTATGCTCTTGTGAGACGGAAACAACAAAGGTCGGCGGTGTAACGTTCTCTTAATATTATTTATTATTATTAATAGAGTCTAGACTTACTAACTAAAATGAGGAAAATCCATTCGTTTTGCGAATTCGGGAATCACCAACAAAATAACAATGCATAAGTGCACACTGAGACTAATATAAATAGGTACACATTATTATAACCTGGTCGGTCAAAATTGTTGCACTTCATTCGTGTGATAAAAATTGGATTCAACCATTTTATTGGCGACCATTATGGCTTGGAGATATTAGTTTTCGCATTTTCGTGCAAACCATTAGCAATAATAGAAATAATAACAATATTGTCGGATGAAGCATGATTTAAGATATTAAATAGGTTAAAGTTTAACCTTTAAACAACGGCCTATAACAGATGTATGATGACCGGTTAACCAACTATCTGAAACAGCTGAGAGCCGAGCGAGTAGTATGTACATTTACACAATACTATGAAATTGTAAGATATACTTATTAAATATATTAAGGGCTCTCTATTCTAGATTCTAGACTATAGAGAGTTCATTAATTACTTCACAAAGATATGAATGATCAGTTTGAGTCCAATTGTCCCTCTTAACTTTAACAGCCCATAACACACGATGTTCTTTATTTCTAGGGGAAAACATTCATTTTAAATCCATTTTCACTCCGGTTATGACAACCATAAGCACAACAACCCGGCATGATGGGACGATTCAATTTCAATGATGATAATATAGTTTAAAAAAATTAATAAACTAATAAATTATTAATATTTTATAACAGTTTACTATGACGTAAATATATATACGTTAATATGCGCCTATTATACGTCTATAGGTAATCGATGGTCGATATGAAAATTTGGTTCCAAAAATGGTGCCCACGAACAGTGATAACAGCTACCAATTATATAATAATAGCTAACCAATAGAAAACGTTCAGCTGATTGACAACTCTCTTATCATAAAGGCTCTCTAGAAACAGCTATTTCAGATAGTTCACCGGTCACATTACGGTGTGTAATAATCTGTTTTCAAATTTTTGTTGAAGATTTTACGTAGGTGTGATACCATAATATTATAGCCCCACGATTTATATTACGAAGACTTAACATTATGCAATTTGTGAAAACTAAAAGACATGTGTTTACGAGTAAATGGTGCGTAGAATGCAGTAAGTATAATACTATAGCATACTGTATGGCAGGTTCGTAACGGCATTATTGTTACACATTCAAATGTGTTTTCCATATCTATCTTTATAATATTTTACACGTCTAGCGTTGATATTTATAATAAGCAACATCGTTTTAGCACAGAAATGTACCCAAATACCTATTGATTGATAATTGACATAGCTGATTAAAAAGTACTTATATTACATAACAATTGTGTACCAAATCAAATTTTAAAAAATACGAACAATAAATAAATATTAAAACTAAACACTCGACAATTGCGTATCATTTCATCTTTGGTTTATTTTTATTTTCTAGAAAACATAATATTATAAAAATACTGACATAGGTACCTAAATAGGTACAAATATTCTATTACATAGGTATAATATGTATTCAATTAATACGAATGAATAATGATAATAACTAATTAGAAGCTAAGCTTTATCAAAACATTAACTTTGGCCAATAGTTTTCAAATTAACTTTCATCAAGAATATCTTATTATAAGTAAACAGATTTTGGAGGATCATCGCCCTAAGTAAGGTGGGTAGCATTTAAATTTAACTTTGAACCATAGATTCAAATACTGAATAGTTTTGTCTATGATACATTTATACCTATGACCCACACTTAAATATAGTTTTATAATTATACACAATAGTTATAATTCATAATTCATAAGTATAGTCTGAAGTAACAATATAATATATGCAAATTTTGTATTACAAATTATGACTAACTATATATTGGTGAAAAACTAAATGTGTTGCATAAGATTAACAAATATTCATTTTCTAATTATTTATGAGAAATAGGAAGATAGTTTAAATAGAGAATGAATGTGCTGAACCGATGAATAATATAGACAGTTTAAATGAAAATAAAGATCAGCCAGGTAATCTATATGTAAAATTAGTTCGCTAAGTGGACTGCCTTTGCTGTCATGCAGATGGACAGGGCAAGATACACTTTCGATGTTTGTGCATTAAGATAACGAGATTCTTTGATGACGTAGTATATACCCATGTGAAAGAAAGGTCCATGTGGTTGAACAAGGCTTGTTGAGAAATCTGCCATAAACGGTCTATATTGTGAAGGCTACATATGCCGCAAGAAAATATAAATATTAGGATGGAATCTCGACAGGAGATGATCCAAAACTCATCATGGATAGGACTAATTTTGGTCCACCATGAAGAAAACTCGAATGATAATGACGAATTAGTAGTTGAGTGTGGCAAAAGAATAGGATGTTTTAACTTAACGCCGAATATCGAAGACAATCTCCAACACGAATAAGACCGTCATTATTATGAAATGGGGCAAGTTGAGCCAGTGAAGGGAGATTATCATCTGTGATGTAACAATCTGCTTCCTCAAATTAAAATAATATATCCTTTGTGTCTCTTTAATACCAGTGGTTAAGACGTAGTTTAACTCTGTTATAGCGAAAGGTTCAGTTAACACAGGTTGATGTCTAGCTCAAGGACTAAAACGGATACAATAGGCCAGAACTCGTTGCATTTTAATCAAAGATGAAATCGGTGAAAACTGAAAAGGCACAATAGGTGTATAAATTTTAGTGTCTCGGAGAACGGTTCTTTTATGTCACACACATCTAATTCTTACCCTCGTCATTATTGTTTTTCCGGTTAAATATAATATAACCTATTGAGGTCATTGGTCCTCCACATGTACATACTTTTCTTTAATTTTATACTTATATATAAATTTGAAATTAAATTTAAGAAATTTTATCAGTTCCAGATTTTAGAATTAATTTAATTTATATTATAGGTTCCAGAGTTTGTAAATGAAACCGGGACGGTTGATGCATATGAGACAGGCCAGATTCATGTATTCTATGAAAAACTGAGGTGTTATAAAAAATACCTAATGGTTCCATCATTGAATAAAACTAATAATTTCCGAATAACCATAGCGGGGTGGTTACTGAATGAAGTCGGAGACATTATTGCTGCACCAGGTCAATTTTGTATGGATTCATTTCCCAAGTTCAATTTTCAAACGTTACCAGTTATTTGTTATCCAGTACTGGAAAACAAAGCAATAGACTTAGATATGATTCATATCGGAAATATTCTATCACTACCATTTTTGTTTTCAACGTTCCTCGTGTATGCGCTCATTAGAGACTTACGGAATTTGCACGGAAAGTCTCTTATGTGTCATATAGCAACGCTATTTGTGGACAAAACTATTAAAACTATTAGAGACTTAGGTGGCGAATATTTTTATCCAAAATGGTGCATTTTTTCTGGTAAGTAAATCTTTTTATTTTATTTTTATTTTATGAACTATAACAAACTCTGTTTAAGTTATAAAAATAATATTTTTTCTAACATATTTTTATATTAATGTCTACATTTTTAATTTTACATATACAGCTTTACTCTAGGCTGAGACTTATCAAGTGCCTGATGAAATTAATGAATCCCCAGTGATTCGCTGTCGGAGGGGGTCGGTGATTTTGGTTCTGGGCGTGGAGTTACTTGTTCAGTGAAAATAGGTGCCTCTCGATTCCGGAGTTTCTTGTGAGTTGGTTCGAAGACTGTTGGTGAGTTGCTTGATTTCTTTTGGTTGTTGCGACGTGCACTCCCGCTATGGTTGCTCATTTCATACTATGAAGATGGGATTTAGTTGGATGCGATTGCGGTGCGAGACCCGGCTACTTGCACCCCTTAGGTGCACTTGCTTCGTGATCTGTGGAGGCATTTAGAGCTGAAGTACGGTTTTGAAATTATTGGGAGTTGATCTGTCTAGTGAGCTGCAGCTCTGGTCGCAGGACGTACTGGAAGAACTGCTTGCTCTGAATGCTGACTAGTTGATAGACTAGAAACTACGAACGCTGAACGTTGACTGATGCTGATATTTCCAAAATGCACCTGTATTTATACTTGTTGTCATTATTTCTCGGGTGTTGATTGGTCGGCGTTCTTAGATATGAAGAGGAATTGTTGTACCATCACCGCATATAATATGATGTATGTTTTCGATTATGTGTCTTTTTCTCTTCATACTCCTGTTTTTTGTCTGAAAAGCATGTTGTTGGTTATATTTTCAATGCCAAACGTTTGTGTTTAATTCATCATGCCCCTATTCGATGTTCAATGATGTTTTTTCATCTTGAGAAAGACGTGTGTGACAGTGGCGGTGCCAGAACTTTAATACCAGGTGGGCCAGGCTGGGGCCCAAATTTTTTAGGGAGGGCCAAATTGTTGACTTGATATATATATATATATAAACAATAGTGATGACAGGCAATTTCGCAGAGGGGTGAGGGGGAGGGTCAACTTCCAATTTTTTTTACACTTCATCGTGTAAACTTACTAAAACAATGATTTGTAAACATGTATTGTATTAACTATTAATAGTATTTATTTGCTAACAAAATATATATTCATGTAAACACTTTTTGATTTTTATGCTCCCTAACCCATAATTACACTCAATACCAATGAATATTTAATAATAATTTATTATTTTCGTATTCAGCCGCTGGAAAATACACGTTATTTATGAGGCTTGAAAGCATAGTGCATCGTGCATATATAGTTTTCAACCCATTCAAAATGTTGTTCACGCCATCTATTATGACTTAATATTTTCATATTTTAATAAATCATGATTTATTCATGAGATATTTTTTAGTATTCTAATATGATTAAATTTAATTTTTGGGGTGGGCCACAGGGGGGGCCTGAGACTTTTTAAGGTGGGCCCGGGCCCACCCTGGCCCACCCCTGGCGCCGCCACTGGTGTGTGAGCTTGTGTATGATAGCTCCATAACATTTATTTATATCAATCTGGCAGAAAATAGTAGCTTTTCAGGAAATTAACTATTAAGGTGTAAAAATATAAAAGCTATTCTAGCTTTTAGTGTGAAAATAATAGTTTAAAGCTCCATGTACACCAAGGTCTTATACACAGTACACATCATAATAATTAACTGTTTGACAACAATTAGATGATATTTTTCAGTTTATTTCAAAATTCACCCAAATTTTTTATTTTATTTTAACAAATATATATTATGTAATAAATAGATTTTTTAAGCTGTAAAAATAAAAATAATCAATTTTAGTTTCAAATATGTGATATTTGTACAACAATTTATAGAGTTATAACAAAATCACTAAAGGACATAGAGCTAAATATATTTTCTAGTTCTTGAATTAAAATAGGCCAAATATTCGTTCATTATATCAACAAAAATAAACAACAAAATATATTCATTATGTGTAATGTATGTGTTCATAAATATTTATGTATGCATTTTTTAGTATTTTATTTTAGGACTAAGTAATCCAAATAATGACATTAAATAAAAAAATCAAATAAAAATCCAAATGGTTTTTATTAACAGTACACTATTGTGCCAAAAGCCCAAAACTGTGTTCGAAAATTAAATTTAAGATTTACGATCATTCACGCCATACGTACTTGGGTAGTTTATTAAAATAAAATCATTCATGAACAAAATTATGTATATCAGTATCACATAATAATATAATATGCTTATTGTAAAATACCTTTACAAATTGTATATTTTAAAAATATAGGTGTGGGTATAGAAGTTGTTTTGACACCAATGGTCAATGACTAATGATTTTTGTAAAGCAAAGTTGTTTTGTAAAAAGTATGTTGATAAATTACAGGAGCCTTATATATTTTTGTAAAATCATTTTTAAAGACTACTAACTACCCTTAATATAAACATTTTAATACCTAAGAAACAACTCGTTCGATATTTCAATATGGTAGATATATCAATATCTTCTTTAAAAAAGTATTCATTAATTAATTTACGCAGTAAAGAGGGGGAAGGATCTCATAAAAAAAAACAAAAGTTGTATTATCATAGGGCGCCTTAATAGTACCTACTTACAAAATAGCCAAGAATTTAAAATGTTGGTCTTAAAGTACTTTTATTTAAAAATTCCAAAAATCAGAATATGAAAAATTCAATAGGTACTATACTCCGTTCCACGAGAGATTGCGACTGCCACGAGCATCGAAATGAATTCTCTCCAACGTCGTGAGGCCCAAACCATGTTGCCTCCGATCTCTGTATACAGCGGTTCGAGTAACGCACCAAAATTCGCAAATATTACCGCGACTACCAATTATAATGTAATATATCTGTATATGAGTTATTTATATGAAATAATAGTATAATTAATTTTGATTATTACTTTTTTATTACTAAAACTACCATAAAACATGTAATAATAACAAACAAGATTACACCAGTAACCGCTCTGTATATGATAACAACTTCGTTTGACAACGATATGACGGCGTTCGACCGACGGTATGCAACCTAGACAGGGATGTTTTGGGGATGCACGAAAATGAACACGTTTTGATCGCCACCCAGTCGCACTCTCCCGTGGAATATAATGGAAAAAATGTCTGTGGAGATAAATTTGTATATAATATTAATATCATGATTCTGTGGGTTTTCTTTTTTTCAGCGTATGCTTATCAATCCTCTTCATTGGCAAGTGTTTTCTGGCTCAATGTTATGTGTTTCGACTTATGGCGGACTTTCAGGTAAATTAAATATTGTTCAATGAGTGGTAGTTACTGCCGTACTGGTCTAGAATCTTTCAGACAATAGTCCCGGAAGAAAGATTCTCTCGGTTTGCATTTGTGCGTTGTTTAGATTTTATAGATATGTACCTATATTTTAGATAGATAAATAAACGAGATATCATACATTTAAGAATTATTCGGATACATAAGCTTCTACAATATAATATTATATTATCATCTATTTAAGTTGCAAATTGTTTTTTCATCTTCTCCTGATTGTGGTAAAATTGCTAAACTTTATTATTTTCTTTTTCCTAATTTAAGTGTAGCCGTGTATGGTTATTGTGTAGGACTACTGTAACTGAAATAATTGTCACAATCGAAATTCTAACTTCGATTATTGTATAGTTGTTACTGTTAACAAATTTCGTATTATAAATGTAACTTTTTTTAAAATAAAAATGAATCTTAAACAAATATACAACCACATGTGATGATGATTAAGATATAGGTAAATGTTAATAGTTAAAAGTGTATTCCTATAAAAAAAAAAGGTAATATTATACACATATATTGATAGACTGTAAATTAATTTGTTTTTAATTTATGATAAAATATGCGATGATACATTTTATTTGGTCAGCGGTTTACTGTATTCTGTAATAACAATTTGCACAGACCACGGTGTCTATATTTTAATATTTTTTTTACATATTGCATATGCTATAGTAGGTAAGTACGTGTTTTTAATTATCCATGAATAAAATCTAAATAATACATTAATTAAAATAAATACAAATGAAAGTTTTTGAGAGGGAGGGGGGATTCTAGAATAGTTTAATATCCTTATTTACGTCTATTAGTAAAAGACCTATGCTATCCACGGACATATCTTAGTCCGTGCCTCAGTCATCACTAATTGTCTAGTTATCAATATGATTTTTTTTTTGTAAAATAAAAATAACCTCTTTTAACTTTTGTTTGGTCCAAAAAGATTCAAACGTCGTAGAACTCGATAACTGATATTTTCTCACACAATATAAAAAAAATAATTTTCTTTTTTTGTTAGAAGACGTTTTCGAGGTCGCGGTAACTTTGGCCAATGTTATTTGGTGGGCCAAAGTTACCACGAAGTTTTTTCCGTTTTCTAGAGCTAGAAGATTTGTTTAATAAATTCTCTTTTTTTTTGTAAATGCAAATATAATTTTTTTAAGTAAGCAGTGCAGATTTTTATGTATAGTGATGTATGCATGTATATGTTTACATCAAATAAAATTTCTTTTTCCTCAAAATGACCTTTTTATTCATCATTTTAGCTTATTTTACTATAAAAATTTACTTATAACTTAATATATAATTAATAATATTATAATATATATATTATATAATTACTTCTGAAGTATTAGCTAAATAACCTACCGTAGGCTAACTTTGGTCTAAAGAAGGTTGGATGGCAAATCTATATGGATATTTGAAAGTTGGCTAAAGTTACTCGGTTTCCAGGTAACTATAACCCATTTTTTTGAAAAAAAATTGATCAATAAGTACTACCGAACTTGAAAAAAATAATTATTATGTAGGTACTAATCTAATATTAATGAAGATAGACATCTAAATTGACTACAATTAATTACGTTTGGATTAAAAATAATAATATAAATAAGTATTAAAATGTTTAAATTATTGAATTTATGTATTTAATTGTTTAGCACATTTAGACCATTAAGAAGAAATGTACAAGAACATGAAGCGAAAAAGTTTATAATCTATTCCATTTATGCTTGGGGAAGTACCGCTTTAATCAGAATATTTACATTTGGTATGGAGAAATACTCACCATTTGATGCAATTCGTCCAGATATCGATATAAGGACTTGTTGGAATAGATGTAAGTACTTCTGATGACAGTTAACTATTTATATTTAAATCAAGCCAAGTTGTGTACAAACGAATATAGTTGAAGTCATAATATTATTTGAGAAATATCCGTCACTATTTCATCATGACGTATAATAATATTTTATGTTGCTCTCTAATTAAGCAATTTTACATTTTTACAAAATAATTAATTCAAAAGTTTAATATTAGTGTATATAATAAAATGTGCTATATTTAGTTATTGTTAGGGTTTGGGTAATGACACAAATATAAATATAAAACATCCAATATATTATATAACATACTCGACTAACTTTTGTACAGCAGAACGGTACCCACGTGTTACCAATTTTTATTATTTTTGGTTGATTCATTATATTAAGTTGTCCCTTCAACATAATTTTTTTTTTTTCAATAAATCGTAAATGAATCTAAACTATTATGTATGAAATAAAATTTTAATACTAATTGTTTGGCTGGCAAAAGGTACCTAAAAAGTAACCTGAGACCTGAGAAAGACATTTTCAAATGCAGTGTTTTCCGCGAAAATTGATTTCACTCCGCTTTGAATCTAAAATAAATAAAACAAAAAAACAATATAATCTAGTTTTTAACTATATCATGACACGTCTTGAAAATTCTCTCAAATCAAAACCAAGCTTTTTGACATCAATCTCGATAAAATCGGGTTAAGTGGGTGGGCCAATTTCAAAACGTTGAAAGCTCGTATCATGGCTTTGGAAGACTCGTGGATTCCGGGACCATGCTCACAAAGTCTCGCAAATCAAAACTAAGCTTTTGACAGCTAACTCCATGGAATCGTGTGAAGTGGGTGGGCTACATGGAGTTAGCCCACTCTCTAGTAAATTGTGTAAAAGATACTCGCAAATTCAAGGAGTATACTTGAAAAAACTCTAAAATTACTCACAAAATATTTGCATAATATTTTCACATTGATATGTTCATTTCGGCAAACCAGGTTAATGGGCTTAATTACTACAATGTATTAAAATTATACACATAGAGTTAATATTTTAAATAAAAAAAATATTTAGGCATGTTGTTATTTAATTATTTATAAATTTATATTTTAGCATTTTCAGCCGCGATGTTATATTTTAATGGTCCTATTAGTATTCTATTATTTAGTAATCTACTGATGTTTATACACACGGCAATAATTATTGTGAAACATATGCGTTATGCTAGAGTACTCAGTGGATCTGAAAGCCAAAAGAATATGGACCATGAAAAAGGACGGTAGGTACTGAAAGTAGTACAGACAAAATTGTATTATTAATAGTTAAATTAGGTATCTATAAAATTGATCATATTAATATCAATGCAAATTATGATATTTACTTACTCAATAAATTCGATACAAATATAATTTATATTCATTAAATTAATTTGTAAAATTATGTTTAAAATTAGAAATATATTGTATTTCAGGTTCATGATGTATTTGAAATTATTCATCGTCATGGGTGTCGGTTGGTCAACGAAAATAACATTAGCATGGGTACCAGGTTTATGTGTTTTTCCATCAGTGTGTTACGTTATAAGCATCGTGAACTCGTTATATGGAGTGTGGATTTTTTTAATTGTTGTTTGTAAAAAACGTGTTTTAAATTTATTAAACAAAAAACTTTGTCCACGGTTTCAATTTTTTAAGACATCTACTGCATCTACTAGAATAACTAATATCACCACCCCTGGAACTAGTTCCAATACCGCAAATAAAGATGCAGTTGAGATGTCCACTAATTGTTGATAAACTAATAATCAGTTACACGATTTTAAAGTTTAATGATTGTGTTATGAAAATAAAATAGCTTTTTATCAACAATTATATTAAGCTTAAAAATGTATGATCGTTTTTCTAATTAAATAATTTTAATGACCACAATTTTTTTTTTTAATTAGCATTGAATTTTTTTTTAATGCTATTCCTTATTAGTTCCAAAATTATAGTCACACATATAGGTACACTATTTAATGATAAAATCATGTTAGCAAATTAATGCATTTTAATAGTATATTATTATAGTATTGGAGAATATTTATAATAATTAATATGTAGGTATATTATAGGTACTCTACTTGCTGCAAAATACCAGTAAGGATGACTAAGGAGGGAAATTATAGTGGCGCAATTAAACAGTAGGTATAAGTTTAAAATTAATTATGATAACATGGTAGAGACTATTTCTAAAGGTGAATTTTTGTTTGTTACAGTTTCTGCAGATAATTTCATTCTGGTGTGGGTAGGATTATCTGGAACCTTGGTTTTTGAGAAGTCTAAGATACGTTTTTTGCAATTAGTTTTATCTTTTTATGAGACAGGCTGGTATGATGTTATATTTTACTTAAAAAAAGTTAATAAGTTATTTTAAAACGAGAATTTTGAAAAAAGTAATATATATTTGGCAAAAACAGAAATTATTTTCACATTTTTTTATATAAATGTACGCATGATCAAAGGTTCTAAAATGCATTAGTAATCAAAAAAACATTGATCTACGATCTCCGTGAGTACCTACGTGATTTTTTACATCACATCACATCACTATTACACAGTATCTACATAATGTAGGTATATTAAAACCAAATGTGAAAAACATATTATATTATGTTCATGACGTTTTGACACAACATTATATCCTTCAGGTGCATCCCCGTAAAGGCGTAAAATATTCATTTTGAAATTCGATATATTTTATACAATCTCTCTGTAATATATTTTCTATTTACTATACCCGGATGGATGATTCACATAGGTATACATTTTGTATTATATTTTGTAATTGAAATATTTTTAATAAATAAAACAATGAGTAATATTCTGACAGTGATTTGTCCTATTTGAATGATTGTTAACGTAGGTAATGTTGATACATTGTTTCAAACGGACGTATTTGTTATGAAATCGAGTGACAAAACTTCACAAAAAAAAAAAAAAACAGATAACTCCAACAAAGTCTATCGCATACACCCCCGTCATAATAATATTACTATTACTATTATTATTATACATCGATTTGACGTCACGCGCTCGAGTGTCACATATCATATTGTGTTTCATACATAGACAATAGACATACATGTATTTATTAGGTAGTACTTTTGACTCTAGCACCAACTAGGTAACAATTATTTACCTAAAACTACCATCAAAGATGAAAACCTAAACGTTTTTTCTTCTCTAAAATTTGAAGACGGAAAGCAAAAATAAACACCCATGGAAGGCACGGGGACCGCGTCCGAACGAACTCAATTGGGAACGGAGCGGTGTGTAATCGGTACAATGAGAGCACCAACTAGGTAACAATTATTTACCTAAAACTACCATCAAAGATGAAAACCTAAACGTTTTTACTTCTCTAAAATTTAAAGACGGAAAGCAAAAATAAACACCCATGGAAGGCACGGGGACCGCGTCCGAACGAACTCAATTGTGAACGGAGCGGTGCGTAATCGGTACAATGAGAGCACGCGATTGTAAATCGCAAACACTTTTGGAAAGTACGACCACGGCTTTTGTACTATTATTTCAACCATGGTTGGTTGATCATGAGAAAGCCAACGATTTTGCATAATACGTGGATTAGCAAAACGCACTGCGGCGGTGGAGTACATTTGGCCGAGACGATGTATCGCCGTTACGAACGGCTTGCAAAATCAGACCATGCTAAAAGCCACGGGGGACTATAGGCCGAATGACAAACGGCAATGAAGGACCAGACAGGGACAGTCGCTACCATGACTCGTATCACGGAAGAGTTATATTTTTTCGGGTACTGCAGGCTTATCGGACACCAACAGTATTAATATTTTAGAAAATTGATCACAATACTCACCGAACTAATGCCGATCAACCTCTGAGACATGCTAGTTCCCACCGTAATGATGAAATCCGTCCAGTTGGACTTGTTCATGAACATCTCCCTATACCAGAGGTATTCAAAGTTTTTCATCCCGCGGCTCCATCAAGTGTTCGAAGTATTGTAACGGCTCCCAAATTATTATGAACAATTTGAAACAATAAGGATATAGTGTTATAGCCAATATGGGTGATAACAACAGTGACTTTAGTACTAGAAATATAAAACTTTAAATAGTCGGGTATTGTGTTTCATTATATCATTTCCATAATCGCTCATTTAATGATTATAAATAATATTTTTATTAATTATAATTTGTAGTTTACCAACATTAATTTTGGTTTCCGGTGCTTTGACGCGGCTCCCTTCGACAACTGTCGCGACGCCTGGGAGCCGTGACGCGCAGTTTAGTACCTATCTGCCCTATGCGATTCCTTCGCCAGCTGCTTCTGCTTGGTGACCGTCTCGTCGACGATCGTCAACTCGTCCGTAACTTCATTCTTGGCTCAGATACGCCTGAGCGATTTCTCGACTTTATCCCGCCAATTTGACTGCATCAGGCAGTACGGGCTTTCGGGCAGCATATACAGAATAAGCACCTCGAACACGGTTGAGGAAAACAGAAACAGTATAGCTGTTGGTAATTGCGAGCATCTGGCCGATCGTCTGCATACGCCTAGCATGCATATCGCCAACACAATCGGAAATAAAGACAATACGGTGCCCCGTATCTTGACTTCGGCCATTTCACCCGCTATTTCACTCCGTGGAGCCTTTGGCCAGTCCGGCGAACACCCTGGACGTGTAGAGCACATTCAACCGGGATAACCCACACAATAATCACCATAATTATCGAAATATAATTAACTGTGGGGAGTCTTTACCACACGCATTTCACTAATTTCTAACTTAAATTTAACAAACAAGTGAAAATATTAAATAAGTACTAAAACATGGCCCCCGCCAACAATATTTGCTATAACATCCCGTCAGAACAGTGTACTTGGCTTCTTGTACAAGTGCTTATGTATTGGCGTACTAATCGCACTTGTCGAATGTACATAGTTGGTACACCAGTCGTGGGAATTCGGCTTTAAACTAAGGTTCAGCAACAATTATTTATACTATTAATTATTTATATTTTTTTCTTTAAATATGTACAATTATTTAACAATGAAAGAAATACTCGGTTTCGTAATTAAATATTTCGTTTGTTTGTCCAATTCTGAAGCATTAGAATAATGAGGACAATCGATTTTGAAAATAATAATTGGTATTGTATTTTCTTTTCCTTATTCGTCGATTTCAAAAGTTTAATTTTATGATTTTACTGTTAATATGACTCACCTGATAATCAATTTATACTTTTGTAGGCTTATTTTCTACTATAAGCTACCATTACCAGCAGTATTGCATTCAAATAACAATAGCCGATGATATTTTAAGAAACAAACATTCAAATACGTATTATTTTATTTTTTAAAACATAGTTTTTTATCAAACCCAAAAAATAATTATAATCCATTTATTTGTATGATTGTTACTATGCAGCATTGTATTATTTTTTGTTCAATTAATACTTGTGTGTAAATTTAAAATGTTTATGTATTCACCTTCATTCCTAACTATTCAAAAACGTACATAAATTAGTGGGAAAAAATGTATACCTATATTCTAAAAGTATTCAAATACGTATTCTGAATACTTTTTTACACATATATTAGAATACAAAATACAAAATAAAAATGTTCTTTAAAAAAATGCTCACCCTATTATCTGTTATTATATTAACATAGAAACATAACTGTTTTATAACAACACTATCATACTTGAATTTAAGTAAACTTATTTTGTTTCAATAATTTATTTACTTTTGAATAGTATATAAATATTAATAATAATATTTTTAAAATAATAATAAGTTATATTTTAATAATCCTTCACCATTTTATTATTTTGTTCATCACACGTTGTTTTTTTTATAAAATAATTCCTCGCCAGGTAAATAAATTATTGAAACAAAATTCAATATACTTAGTATTCATTCACGATATCACATCTTAAAGATCTTATATTTTTTTTACTTAGCCATTTTTACACGTAGTTTACCAAGGATTTTTGTTGTGATAAATAAATAGGTACTATTTCTATTAATTATTTCTCCTATAACCAATAACAACCATTTATAAACAAATATTTCCATCGTAAATCTCAAAATCCCTGTTTGAGCACTTCTATTAATTGGTCGTAGCGTGATGTTATATAACCTATAGCCCTCCTCGATGAATGGAATGGACTATAAAACAAAAAAATAATTTTTTAATTCAAACCAGTAGTTCCTGAGATTAGCGCGTTCAAAACAAACAAACAAACTCTTCAGCTTTATAATACTATAGTATAGATTATACACATATTGCATTTTAATGTGAAAAAAATAAAACAATAAACGAAATATTTATTTATAATTTTGATTTAATAATGATTAATATGATTAATAATTATGTTTAATTGTTAAACTATAACCGCGGACAAATAGCTTATACAAAACAGTATGAGTATGGTAACTAAAAAAGAAAGCATGTTTGTTAAACATAATCGGAAATTCTCTATAACAGCAAGTGGTTCATAGTAAAAAAAGTGTCTGTATTCCACAGAAAAGGGGGATAAGTCGAATTTGAGAAAATACATGTTTCTATACCAAATAGTGGGAATTATCAACTATTTTTTTCTGATAAATACTCAATGACATCAGATCTTCAATTATCCAATCATTTACTTGAATAAAGGATTATAGTAATGAATGACTCAAGATTAAGTGAAGCCATTTTCCAAATTCTGACTTAGGATCCAGTCTTTAAAGTTTAAACCTTAATTTTGTAGGGCATTTCAACCAAGGAGTGAGAATAGTGAGATACCTATTTAAGTGTAATTATTTTGAAAAATAATAATATTTTTCCAATTTTTTCTATACATTCGTGTAATATTTTCCATCATTAAAAATGTAACCAAAAATTCAATTAATTTCTGAAATAATAATCTAAGAATTTATCTTTGTATTTGGTATACTCTCGTTTTACGGAATCTGGATTATTTTTTCATGGAGATGCGATTTTCAGTTACATTATTAACTCTTTCAACACTAACGTTTAGTTGTATTGTTTTTAATTTGTAATTTTGTCAAAATGTTAATTTCATTCATATTTACATCCGATCAAAGCTCCATAGTTTTCCTCGTGATACGACGTTAAACCATTTATTTATTGTCATTGGATATTAATATATTTTTATTGTGTAAGGTTTTCAGATGACAATTATTATAGTATAAATATAAATAGTTACAGATATATATCATAATACCTACCGGTATTGACTTTAAAAAGTTGATTTATTGTTATACATATACTTTAATTTTATATATTGCAGTATAGGTAACTGTTTTGGAACATAATCAACATCATCATATTACAATTTATTTATGTTATATATTATATTAAACACGTACATAGAGTACTAGATTGCGGAAGGAGCGAGTAATGTATACAGTTGATTTTACTTTTCAGTGAATTTGTTAAAAAAGATAAATTGTAAGTTTTCTTTCTACTTTGAAGTGTTAAAATTACAACATCGTTCGGAGAATGAAATACACAAGGTTTAACACTATTCATTACAACTCAAAATATCATTAGGCATAGGAGTTGTATACTTATATTAACTCTGAATAGTTGTTGAATAGTTCTATATTACACTTATTATCCAGTAGTTCATAGATAAAATAACATCAACATTTTTTCGAATTCAATATATTAACTATTAAGTGCTATACACAGTGGAGATTTTACGGGGAGGGGGTTAGGTGGTCCTCGCTCCTCCCTCTTGGGCCGTGTACAATACACATGCATATATGAGCAATAGTATACTAAAAATAAGTGGAATATGTATGTAAGTATAGTATGCAAAATATTTTCGCCCCCCCTCCTTGTAGCTTTTCAAAAACAGCCCTAGGTTCTAAATTATTTGTATGCTTAAAAATACACACATTGTTATATTGATTACAAATATGTAGTTAATTGATTAAATTGATGTTATTATTTATAATATGTTTGTTGTTAAACTCACTTTAATGGATCTATTGTAAAAAGACTCCTAGATCATTTAAGTACACTGCTCCTTTCAAACTATTTCAAAAATCATATAATAAGACGTATACTGTATAGTCAATGACTAAAGGCTAAATAAAAAAAAATAAGTAAATTTGTGAACTAGAATAAGTTCACACGGTATCGACCACTATATTGCTCTATTACCAAAGGTCAGTATGAAGTATGAACTATGAATAAAAATGCATATTATGTAAATAAAGAAATTTTCCCTGAATTAATTGGTTAGTTTTTACTCGTGTAGTAAGTTATTTATTGCGGAAGTAATGCGAAAGCTGTTCCCGCGACGCCGTCGGTTCCAAACGGAAAAAAAAAAAAAAAAAAAAAAAAAAAGTAAGTTATTTATTATATCAATATTTCTAAATCATTAATTGTTGACTGAAAAAGATTTTGCTTTGGATTAGGGAAATATAAATACATATTGTTATTAAAAAAAGTAAAAAACTTAAAAACTATGAAGATAAAAAAAAATAGTAAAAATATCATTTCTATTCAAAAATGTCGATTTGTAATGAATTCAAAAAAAATGTACTTACCTGCATTTTTTTTTCTTCATAAATGTAATAATAATTTTTAAATTATGAGTATTCTTTGCATAAAAAAAAATCAACCGATATATTGTATCTATCAGTTATTAAATACCCATTTGCCGCTGCAATATGTCACTGTATATGTAATTGATAAATATTAGCTTTCAGGCGTTTTAGGTCGTAATCTGTATAGCTTCCCGAGATCGATTCCCATCGACTTTAGTAGAACAATTTGTGTAATCGTATTTTATTTTACGTTTATAAGGGTGTTTTTCAACAACGGTACATTTTAGTAGTAGTAGTTATAAGATCACCATCAGTTATTTTGACATAGTTTTATGGGATATAAACTACAGAGTACTGAGCTGACTTTAAAATAAAATCTTGTTGTTTTAACCACTGCTATGACTATCATGAGTTTTACTGTGGCGAGGAATTATTTTAACTATCGTTTGATGTGAAATCATCTCCAAGCTTCCAGAACAAAATCAACAAGCACAACTCGCAGTGTTAAATAACATATCGACGCCAACGCGTGTATAATCAACTACAGATTTCTGACTTTGTATAGAATACCACATACCTAGTATATATATATATATATATAAACATGTTATATGCGCTCGACGATAATATTGTAAATCGTAACGATAATAATCCGACGAACTTTGTCGAAACATTATAATATCAGATTTGAGTCTAAATATATGACTATTATATTATGTAGCCTGAAGGTGTATCATAACTTAATAATAATATAATATGTTTTGTATTATATATTATGACGTTATATAGTCGAAACCGTGCGCTGGATGTGTGCAGTAAGTATAATGATATTGTATCGACGACCACCGTAGTAATCGATCTGACTTTTTGGGTCTGGAATGTTCACGGATGATTTTGATTTCGTGATGACGACGACGACTCTCGGCGGGGGTGGGGGGGTCCTTTCTCGTCGAAAATTTGGCAGTCGTCGCGTGACGCGTCCCGACATTTGAATATATATGGCATTCCGTAGCAAAAATATATAATAATATATACGGACGCTTTACCCGTCGTCATCCCCTTTGGGGGAAAGTGCGAAAGACGTGCTCGCGTTGCGGTCGTCGTCGGCGCGCTCGACGAGTG